GTTTGTATTCTTGATATATTTTATTATTTTACTACTTATAACATTATTTTAAACGTTAATTGTTTTGTAAATTAATTTTAGATCAGAGTATTTTGTTTTTTTCAATAATTTTAAAGTTTATATACAACTGCATACAATAAGTATTGTATTAAAATGTTTGCGTGTTTTTGAATAGATGTCTTATCCGGGCCAGAGAGGCGCGTACCCGACCGGTCCGTTTCCACCACAAGGTTTCACACCTCACGGACCTATCAATACACGGCAGCCTTACTTCCCCGACAGGTATGTCTCACACCTATTGATTGTATTTATTGTTGTATTGAATGATATGATGAATTGAATCTTCGGCTGAACATAATGTTGACATAACACTTCATCACCCACTGATCATATGTCTGATCATTCATACAACACATATCCACTTATTTCTATCTGTTTTTTGATTTAATATTAATGATACAATTTGTGGCGATTGTTTAGAGCCGGCCAACGACCAGGTGAAGAGTCTGGAGGACCGCCCGGAAGACCGGCGCCTCCTATTATCACTGATAAAGATTTGAAAGGCTTCGACGATATGCTTGATAGTGGTGTGCAAAAGGGTTGGGCCGCGCAAAACACTGAAGTCGATTACAACGCAAAGATCATGTTTAGTGACGACGAGAACGACGACTCGCATCCCAACAAAGAGCCCAATTATGATCCGCGAGAAGTGAGACATTCGGGTGACGGACGACAGAAAGATCGGGAACGAAGGGAAAGGGACTCCGATAGAGGCGAAGAACGACCCAAATCGTACCGATCGCCGCAACAACAACAACAGTGGCAAAACCAATCTCAAAATATGGCACCGAATCCACGAAACAGTAATTACGATAACCAACCGCAACAACAACAACATCCACACCACGACTCGCAACAGCCGTATCCGCGATCGCAAGACAGGCATTCGCAGAATTATCCGCATTCGCGTCACAATAGATCTGATCACCCAATGGCTGACGACGACGAGGTGTGGCGGCAGCGAAGTCAACAGCAGGCCGTGGAAATGGCTTCGGCTGTCGTGAGAGCGCGACAGAGACGCGAAGAGGAGGAGAAGCGAATGGAGAGGAGCCGTCTCGCGGCCCTCGAGAAGCTCCGTATGTTGGAGGAGAAGTCGGGCGATAAGCCGGACAATGAGTTCGATAAGTCTTCGCGTCACAGCAGCGAAAGCGACAAACCCTCTAATCGCGTACCCAATACGTACGGTTCGGCGCCCGCTTTCCCGGCCTCTAAACAGTACCCGAAGAATGTTCCGCCGAGGTTTCAAAAGCAGGCGGAGTTGTTGTTACGCCAAACACAGGGCGGTGGCGGCCCTCAGACCGGTCCTTCACAGCCGCCGCCTTTTGAGCAGCGATTTGTTCATTCGTCGGCGCGGTTGACGTCAGAGAGCGATCCGCGCGAAACCCGTAATCTCGCGAATTCTAATCAGACTATTAGTAAAGCGCCGCCAATGGCTGACAAACCGCGATCAGACAGTCACGTAAGTTCTGGTCCGGGAAGTGTTGACGAACGCGAACCCGACAGAAAGACTCCCGACTTTGACGCCAAAGAGCGCCGACCGCATCGGACATCCGGTTCTGACAGCAATAATTGGAGAGCAGCTCAGAATCAACGGTCGCCTCAACCAAAAGAAAGTACTCATACTGTGAGCACTCGGCCGCTCGACGACAAAGATATTGATAAAAACCAGAATTTGCAACGAGAAGTACCTAAGCGTACGAATGAAGACACATATCCTCTCCAAAAGGGTAACGAATTTAGAGATAATAAACCGAAAGAAGATTTGAGAGACAGTAAAGAGAAGTTTATTGAGAAACCAATTCTGGCTGAACGACAGCTAAGCTCTCAAAGTTCTCGGAGTTCTTCATCCAAAGAGGAAGCGAGAGTTGGGAGACGACAACCGATGGAACGGTTGGATTGGGCCGCAGAATGTGATAATATGCCGACAAGTATTGGCCACCGGCGCGAACCCAACCGTCACCGACCGCTTCCCATCACTCAAAAGCAATTTGAAAGTATTACAGAACCCATGAAAAGGAATTTGACGCCACTTAAGAAAACTAGCGTTTCGTCCGTTTCTTCCCATTCGGAGGACTCGAAAGAGAGTTCTGTCGACAAAACGAAAGACTTTATAAGAAAGAGCGAAACGCCTCCTCTCAACACAACTGGCGCTCCAAATGCCGAGAATGTAAACCAAATGACAAAAACCAATTCCGCAGACATTTCTAAAGCGCAAGCAATCAAAGAAGAGTCTCGTGTCGAGTCATTAGGCATTAAGAAAGAGAGGGAAAGTGACAGATATTACGACAATAGAGAGAAAGATCCACTGAAAAGGGATTCTGTAAAAGACGACAGACATTATCGTAAAGACAGAAGTAATTCGGGTCGATATGAGACGTCTTCGTATGCGGGCCGCGGGGCTGTAGTGGGCGGTGGGGGTCGGTATGCCGTCTCATCTGCAGTCCCATCGGGTCCTGCATTCAGAGGTCGCGGCCGTGAATACCGGTCTTCTCAGCGTTCGGAACAACTTTCGTATAATGACTCAAAAGTGATGACGAGTTACGGCAACTCACGAAACAAACCGATCAAATCTAGAAAGAAATCAAATTCTGACGAAAGTTGCGTTTCTGAAGATATCAACAAAAAGGAATCGATTAAATCAGACAATGAAAAGTCGATTCCAACCACTATTTCGGACATTAAAGCCGACAATGAGAAGGATAGGAGTGTGTCCTCCGATACTATTATGTCGGGCTCTGCTTCCGTATCCAATCAACAGCAGAGGAATGATATCTCGCGCAGAGGTAGAGGTTTGGTACCATTTAAAAGCAGTAGTACTCGAGGCATGCCTCGCGCCTACGGACCGAGTAATTACGGTCCGCCGCCATCGAGAGCTGCTTTCGGTGACGGATCGGCCCCTAAGACTGAGTCGAACAAGAATTACGATCAAAACAGAAATGAAAGACACGAAACGCGAAATTCAAATCAAACCCGAAACGCATACAAATCGGCAAACGATGAGCTTAACTATAGCTCGCAATCAGATTTAAATCAATACCACGACAACAGTCGCAACAATATGTCTAACGCCCGCAAGTCTGGCCCCACGAGTAGTCGAGGCGCCAGTAATGCAAACAATTTGAGTAATAATAATCGCGGGGAAACATTGCCCCCACGATTTCAAAAGACGAGGCAAACTAAGCCATCGGAACCGCGACGCGGCGGTCGTATTAGACCAGAACGCAGCGGTTCTGGCAATCATTTTGAGTCCGATATGGCCAACAATGAGGAGTGGGAGACGGCCTCTGAGAGCAGTGATGTCGGCGATCGTAAGGCTAACAAACGGAACTCAAGCGCCACGTCTTCCTCACAGCCCAAAACCGATAACAGGAGTCATAACAGAAAGTCCGACGTTAGGAGAGGAGGAGACTATCCTCGCAGACAACACACGAACGATACGGGCTTTCGAGAGGGCGGCGGCAGAGGTGGTCGTAATCGGAGTTCAGGCTCTAATGTTTTAACCACTCGATCGCCAAACACTAACCAACAGCGGAACGGAACCATTAGTGGTTCTAATAATATTAACGACAATAACATTACCGTTTGTTCGTTAAGTGAGGTCACACTCGATAACCCAAATGCAGTCGAAGAAGCGTTGAGTGATATTAAGAATCGAAGCAAATCTAATGACTTTGTGGACGACGACAACACTAGCGAAACCGAAGACGGCTTTCAAACGGTTTCCTATAAGAAAAGAAATCGTTTAAATCAAGGAAACGACTCCAAAAAATTCAAACAAGAGGTTTGTTTTCCATTTGTTATATTCAATAATTCCTTTTTATTTAATTAATGATGAATTGTATATATAATCTGTCAATCCTATGAAAATGCATATGATTTTATTAACCACAAAATCTGATTTATTATTTTTTTGTAAATATTTTTATTGCTTTGAATTTTGTGTTCATATATTAAATAAGTTATTAAATCTACAGTTGAGCCCGAAATCTAAGGCGACGACTGCCCGCACCCGTCAAAGCAAACTCGCACCTCGTTTTGCTAAACAGAAAGAAAACAGCACTCGTCTCAACACAATTACCGACGAAGCGTTCACTTCGCCCGCAAAAATAGCTGACGATTTGAAAGCGCTTTCTATTGACCCGAAAATTATTGACACGACTCTAAAAGGACCTAAAGATAAAGCGGAAGAAACGACTCAATTAAAGCCAGTGGTTAACGCCTGGAGCCGACCATTGAGTCATTGTTCGCAAACCACGACAAGCAATTCGACGGTCACCACAACGACAAGAACTACAACACAGACATCAAGTTCTAAGATACAAGATATACACACATTGAGTGTGTCGTCCAAATCCAGTAGTTTTGATCAACACGATAGCGGTATCGATGTGTCAGATCAGCCGCCATCCACCGCCTCCTCTCAGCGCTCTTCACCTTCTAATGATGACAACAAATTGACCACAACTACAGCCAAAGTGACGAATCCGACCGAAACTCGTGCAGATATTGTGAGTATTGAGTGATTTTTATAAATTGTGAACAATTTTTAATGAAATGTATGGTTTGTTATAACAAAAAGGTTACTGACATCGACTCCGCTAAACCCATGTGTACTGTTATATTTGAAAACACGAGATTCAAAGAGGAGAACAAAGTATTGGCCAAAATAGCGCCCGCAAAGTCTCCCACAGCAAAGGTATGTAAACTTTGATTAAATGTTGAATTAGTTGGAAGTTTTTACGAGAAATAAACCAATAATGATGAGTATACGGAGCCAATCCAATGATGTAATTTTGATTACGAAATCCTTATCCCTAAACTGAATGGTTTATAAAGTGTATTATTATTACAAAATACAATTTGTTTTATTTGTTTAATTAATTGGTTTTTAATACTGTTTTTCAGGAAATGTTTGTGACGACTGCCGTCACCAACAATGTTGTTACAGAAGCCGGGCGTCCGAACCCTCCAATTAATGTCCCCAAAAAGGTAATACTTGTTTTCATTTGCTTGTGTCGAGGATTAGCGCAACTGTAGACCCGTTTTGTAAATTTATTTACTCTATGGGGGGATTAATTTGCGCCAAATTAACTATCAATTTGTTTTTTGTTAAGTTATTTGTTTATCAATTAATTTACTGACCAATTGTTTTACACACACAGACCGATACCGTACTGATGGAGGAGTTTGCAAACAATGATAAGATACAGACACCAAACGTGGCTAAAGTGGTTGGAATGCAAAGAACTAATGTTTTGCCCACAGAATCGGATCTGAATGTGAAAATAGCGTCCACGAGAAAGGTGTGGGAAAATCCATCGATGCCCTCCTCTATAGACACTGCGAACGAAAATGTGAAAAATGTTTTACTCAAGTCTTTAGAAGTAAATAAGATTATAAGTACCGAAAGTCATGGCAATGACGGCAACTCTGCGGTCAAAGCGGTGACGGAAGCGTCGGTCGCCAATAAAGTCCACTATTCGACTGTGGATTCAATTAACTCTTTAAATAAGAGCAAAACACCTGTATTGACGTATACGACGCCTCCTCCCGCTCCCAACCAAATGAACACTCAGTCTTACGTCGGTTCACATCAATCGCAAGCATCGCTCATATCATCGCAACAAATACTGTTGAATACAATAAGTTCTCCGCCGTTAGTGGAAAACATGCGTCCCGTCTCTGGCGTTCAGCAATCATATCAAGTTCACAATATGGCTACAAATCCGGCCATTTCTACGCCACCGACAATGCTTTACAACACACACGTCGGCGCTCACCATAACGTGTACCAAACATTTGGGCCTCAAATGGATAGTTTACATCAAACACAAATGCCAGCAGTTATGGCACAATTCGGACCCCAACACACATCTGGACATTACAATCAACACCTTCTGCAACACCAACAGAATCAGTTAAATCAGGCCAACATTTTCATGACACACCAGTTGACACAACCGTCGGCCACTGCGGCGGCCGAACAGTTCAAACAACTCAATGCTGTCGCACAACACCAACAAACTATGGCTAAGACTTTACCAATGAATCAGTTCGTCCAACAGAACAACACCAATATTCACCAGACGTTGGCCAACTCGGGCTCGTGGACGGCGGCCACGCCTCACAACCAGTCCAACAACCAGTCGGCTAATTATTATCAACAGTCAAACTCAATGAACAATGTATTGCAGGCACATCAGCAACACTTCGCTGCATTTCCTTCTCAAGCATCGCTCGGATTAATGCCGGCGCAGTCCTCTCAGGCCACGGCCGCCGCACTGGCCGTACAGCAGTCTTATAGGGCCGCTCCTCTTCCCATTGGGCGCAACCAACCGGTCGACGCGACCAACTCTATGGCCGCTAATCTGCGATCAATGTTTGCCGGAAATATTATAAACGATATGAAGATTGGGAATCAAGTGAATCAGACAATGGACGCCAGAAACGTGAACAACAGGGGCTCCTTTGCCTACAATCAAAACACACAGTCTTTGCAACAATTACAACAACAACAACAGCAACACATGTTTGCTGCGAACCAGAAGTTCACGGGTCGGGCCATTTTGCCCATTTATGCCCAACAGATGCTCTCTCAGGCCAACATCTCTGGCCGACCCAACTCGGCGTCAATGCTCGCGTCGAACGTGAACTCAGCCAACAGTTACACGACTCCCATTCAACGGCCGAAAGTGAACCGCAATAACCAGTCATATGTTAAGAACTCGCATCCGACTCACTATCAGAACCAATACCAGACTCAACCACCACCGCAGCCCCAACTCACACATCAACCACTACTACAACAACAACACCATCAGACACATCAACCGCCGCCACCGCAGCCTCTCATCTCGGGAGTGCCGCCACAACAGTCTGCGCTGTCGATTGCACAGCAGGCGAAGATGAGACAGGACGCCGTCCGACAGACGCAGTCCTTCTTCGCTCAGTCATCGGTGCCGACGACCGCCGCCGCCAAAGACGAGCCCCATTTGGATTCAAAGAGTTGTGGCGAAGTTGCGGCCAATGAGAGCCTCAACAACACCGCAATCGCCGACAATAACACTATTCCCGCAATGAATGACAGCAACAAAATGAATATAATTGAGAAAAACGACTAAACATTATGACCACAACTAATACGAATACTACTCGAAAAGAATAATCTTTTAATTATTAAACATAAAAAGTGCGAATACTTTCACATAATTATTATAATTAATAATTTTAAAGTAAAATACAATTTGAAGTTATTATTGAAATTAATATTTAAAACTAAATAATTCTCTTATAAGTTATAATAATACGAATGCATTACATATTGACGGACCAAATGATTAAATGTATTGCAAGTTTTTAACAACTTTTCTCTTATAAATCTCTCAACACTTGAAATGTGTTTTTATTTTAATTTAAAACTAGATTAACGTATTATTGGATGATTGGGTTTCTATTGAAGTATCAATATTATTATTATTGGCTCCACTTTTCACAGTATATACGATAACATTATTTGTTATTTGTTTAATTGAATTAATGCCTCAATCGATCGATCGGTTTATTATAATTTTTTCTCAAAATATGTAAAACAAATTTTTTAACTTAAAATGCATTCAACGATTGGAACTATGAATCTATTATTAAAAGTAATTGTATATTAAAGTTATT